CTTGTATCTATGTCTGTGTGCTCACAAGTCAAAATGTTAATCCCCCATAGTTCCTGAGGATGGAGTACTATGGAGGTTCCCTGTGTGAAGTTTGGCAGAACGTGACCACTGTAGGTTACAAGAAGAACACATACACACTGTGGGTGACCCATTCAGAGAGAGGTGCAGATAGTAAGGAAGACCCCCCCACACCCCTCCATTATGAGATGATGGGGTATAACACGCTGCTGGGGTCCCATTATGACAAATACTTGGTGGACTACAAAGAGTTCAGCACTCATGTGGACCCCAAAGTTTTCTCGCTGCCTGAAGGTTTGTTCCTTGCTGTGCGGTGCACGCATCAAGACATCTTAGAAAATTTAAAGAGGGGGGTGGGGGGTTTATCTTTTTCTGTTTATTTATTGTTGTTGTTGTTTTTCCCCATATAGGGATGACCTGTGGGGAATTTCCTGGTCCAGGAGTGGAGCACCATATGTTGGCTAATCCAATGAAAGATCTCATCCACACCTCAGCATCAGGCCACTCGCAGCGCATGTTCAACCATTTCAAGGACAAGTTCCAGCGTCAGTACAGCGACGAAAGAGAGCACGAGGAAAGGGAGCACGCTTTTGTTCATAATCTCCGGTGAGAGGAACATGAAAAACTGAGTTGTGACCCCCGCAGCACTGCCAGATCTTCTATTAAAGGAAGATGGAAATTAAGTTTTAATTGAAGGGTTTCAGATGACCTGGTGACTTTTTTTTTTTTTTTTTTTTCTGTTACTGTAGGTATGTGCACTCAAAGAACAGAGCAGGGCTGCCCTTCTCTCTGGCTCTGAACTCTTTGTCAGATCGCACCATGTCAGAGTTGGCCACCATGAGGGGAAGGAAACGAGGAAAGACCCCAAACAGAGGGCTCCCCTTCCCCTCAATGCTTTACAAAGGAGTGAAAGTACCAGAGTCATTTGACTGGAGGCTTTACGGTACGTATTTACAATCTAAATGTGTACTAAAGATGTGTATTCCTGGCTGACTGGACATCCTATTTTATTTACCTCAACTCTCCGCTTTTGCAGGTGCTGTGACCCCAGTGAAGGACCAGGCCATCTGTGGCTCCTGCTGGAGCTTTGCCACCACTGGAGCAGTAGAGGGCGCTCTCTTCCTAAAGGTGAAAAGGATTAAAAGCAGCTCGCTCCACAGTCACTGGCCACATTCCAGTGTTTTCAACTGACAAGGCTACTTCCTTATGCTCTTTCAAGCCACAGATGTTCAGCATGGCTGTCCGTCTGGATTTGTGTCACTGTTTTAGTTGGCGCAAATGCATAAGTGAAAAGCTTTGCAGTGACACATTCCTGTGGCACTTCGTTGTTCTGGCATGTCTGGGGAGAATGTAACGGTCTATTCAGTCAGCTTAGTGAAATAAGTTATTGCTAATTATTTGAGGTGGTGATTTTACCTCCATTAACCGTAAGAAAAGCATCCCTGTGAGGGGAAGAAGTCCTCCCCTTTAGAGTACGAGAGGGTCCACAAGACGGTTCATTGTGCCACTTTTACACTCCTAGACAGACATGTCAGTGTTTGAAGAAATAAAACTGGGTGAATGTCAGCTTTGGCCTGCCTCCATCCCATGGCAGGCAAAGCTCAAAGGCATTCCTTTTCAAGCGTTGCCCAGCAGCTTGATCCAAACATTGGATGGCTTGTTATGGGATTTGATGGCACCCCACTGAAGTGACCAAATTCTTTCTCGTACTCACACACACTCTTGATTTTGTCTCTTGTACTGGGCCACTAGCTGTCCAATTGCATTTCTAAGGAAGTAGTTGACACACTGCAAGGGAAAAAGGGGGAAAAACATTTAGGAGATTTGAAAAATGTGTATGGTTTGCATTTAGAACAGCCCTTCACAGTTAAGTATTGTGCTTCTGGACCTTGAGTAATGTGTTGGTGCAGTGCTATGTGTAGAAAAGGAGTATCATGAACTGATGAAAGCAAGTTTATTGGTTTCGTGGTACAAGTCCATTGTTTACATTTTTACCTAATCGTTTAGCCTTTGAAATGCCAAAAACGTTGACCGCAAAATCAGTTTCTTTTCTTTTAATGATGGGTAATGGAGAGAATCAAGCAAATCCTACCGTTTAACCTTTAAAATGTTTTACTAAGATTACTTAAAGTTGGGGTAGGTAACTTTGGAGAAACTACCAGGAGATGGCTAGATTTTGAAAGTATCCAACTGACTAAAAAATTCCTGCACCCTCCGTTTAGGCCTCCCTCCAAAGCCACTCCCCCAAAACACATTTCCCTGTGTGCAGATTACAGGCAGGTACTGACGAACTGAATGTGGTCCTGCGCCTTTTTTTTTTTTTTTTTTTGTCTCCTAGCATTTCATTTTGTGATTGCTGTCGGGATGTAAAGAGAATCTCGCAAAATATATCTAATTACTTGTCTGCCACAGCTTTAGGTGATTTGTCATCAAAATAATGAGACTACAGAAGTTGTAGATGTATGTACTAGTGGATGAGTACTCCACATTTCAGTGTTTACAAGGGCAGTTGGATTGGACAAAGCGAAAGTACTGTTGTGAAGCCCCAGCAGTTTGTCTTTGTGCCTTTGCCAGAACACAGCGCAGCAGCGGGAAGTGACCTGCATGATGCGGCACACTCGTCCCCATAGGCAGCTTCATAAACAGAGCCACTCCGTAGGGGCCAATTTTGAATTTACTACTTCGGGATCTCACAGCATCTTTCCAGCACCCTGTAGAAAACAGCTGGTGTAAAAATGTTCATTATAAACAAACTATTTGTTTTTTGTGTTTTCTATATGCCCCTTTTATCTAATGTTTTTCCATCCTAAACCCAAATTGATTGTCTAAGTTTGTTATGTTTGAGCCCATCTCTTAATTTTACTGTAGCTTATTTTCAGAGGTTTGTGCAGTGCCATAGGATACAAGAGTGTGTGTTAACAATCTGTGTGTGGAGTGTGATCATATCTTGCTGTCGTCTTTCAGACTGGCTCTTTGCAGGTTCTGTCTCAGCAGATGTTGGTGGACTGTTCCTGGGGTTTCGGCAATAACGGCTGTGACGGAGGGGAGGAGTGGAGAGCATACGAGTGGATCATGAAGCATGGAGGCATCGGCACAACAGAAACTTACGGAGCCTATATGGGAATGGTGAGATGATTCCAAAACGTGGTGCCTGAAGCAAAATATCCTGTGAAGTTCAAATTAAATTAGCACTGCATGGCTGGGGAATGGTGCATTTTCTATATTTGGTAAATGTTTTACTCCAATGGTATTTCAGAAGTCCTTCTGCTCTATTAAATTGGGGATAATTGCAAAAATCATGAAAAGCAAACTCTGAACTGAGCAAGCAAGCTCATCTTTACCTACAGGTTAGTAAATGTCAAGGTTCAGCCAGCTGAAATAACCGTTTTTCATAATTAGGTTAAACTTTAGTTTTGTTCAGAAGCTATTAAAAGTTTGTATCTGTGTGGCCCAGTTGGAGTCAGCTTTGTTCAGTACAGCACTTCTGTCCAAATCTCTACTTGGGTCTTAATAGTCAGACCAGTATCCTAAGTTTCTATTACCTCTTTCATACAAGGGAGACACATGTATGACGGGTACTATCAGAATGGTTTGCCGTCCTGCTGCACTGCAGGGTTCAGTATTAAATGTATGTTTCCACTCTGAACAGAATGGATTTTGCCACGTGAACACATCCCAGCTTACTGCGCATATCCAGAGCTACACCAACGTCACATCAGGAGATGCAGAGGCCCTTAAGCTGGCACTCTTTAAAAACGGGCCGGCGGCTGTCAGTATTGATGCTTCACATCGATCATTTGTTTTCTACAGCCACGGTGTCTACTATGAACCCGCCTGTGGTAAGCTTCTCTCAATGGTGCTCACACTTCTTACAACAAGTCCCTCTCTCTAACTCGGTATGCTTCTTGTGTTTTCCAGGTAATACCACTGATGACTTGGACCATGCTGTGCTTGCAGTGGGATACGGCACCCTGAGTGGGGAGCCATACTGGTTGATAAAGAACTCATGGTCCACCTACTGGGGCAATGATGGCTACATCCTGATGTCTATGAAGGATAACAACTGTGGAGTCACCACTGATGCTACATATGTTACGCTGGCATAAATTTGCCTTTTCCTCTATCGAAATCTGTATGTCAATACCACTATGTGAGTGCCTGAGGATGAATGACTCCCAATGTTGAATCTTTTGAGGTGTGGTTATCGCATCAAACTGAGCTGCTTGGTGGTGATATGTGTTAAATGTTGCTGTCGAATGGTATTGAGACACCGCACAACTTGCGCACAGAACAAGTCTGCATTGTTTTGACAAGTTTATTGCTGGAGGCACAAAGCTACAGTGCCTTTGTTTTAGCTGCACAAAGTACATTTCACTTTATAATTTGTTGCATTCAAATGGACTGGAATCAATGCAATAAAACAATGGAATGTTTTCCAATATCTGGTTTCTGTGACATCTCTGATTGATCTAACCTACTGGCATGCTTTCTAAATTCATGCAGTGGAATAACTGGTTATCCCTTCCACACATTTTAGGCTTTCAAAATATACTGGCCTCACATTTCTTTGCAATAGGAATAATAGATTTTGTAGACTCTAACTTCTTTTGCCTGAGTAACATACATTATATGACCTGTGCTTCTGATCCATGACTTTATTATTATTATTTTTTTTATGTAGCACTAATTTTTATACACCATAATAGCCCTTTAAAACTTGTAATATGTTCTTGATATTTCACAGATTCAAGTCAAACAGTGCTGATATGAAATATCTCTACATGCTGATCAGTCACTTCCCATAGATTCCATACAAAACAACAAATTAATTACATTACTGTAGTCACACATGAAGCTACATTAGATAATATGATAATAAAACAGACTACATGCAATGTCACTGGACTAGTTTTACTTCTCTTTGAGAATGAGAACATAGAAAATGAGGCAGTTGCTTGTCCATTACAGCATAAAGATACAACAAAGATCTTCCACAAACAGTCCACAGAAATGGTACACTTGGTGCACTACAAAAATATTCACGTGCTTTTACTAGTTGTAACAATAGTAGCACAATGGAACTATGTGTACTGCATTAGAGGAAGCGGCAGTCTGCTATAGTCTTCTTCTGCACATGTTTAGAAAGTTGAGCTCTGAGCTGATTCCTGTAGATTTAGAAATACAAGTATGAAATCTATGTCTGCAAAGTCTTTTGTGGGACTGTTTTTTTTTGTATTAAATATTATACCAATTCACTTCTCAACATTGCAATAGATATGTAAACAATTGAGAAATGCACAGATTGCAAAGGACAACTATTTATTCCTGACTCTTTACCTGCATCTGGTAAAACAGTAGGCTATTGATTTGTCGTTTCACCATATATGAATACCTGCTTTGTGTATGTATGAATGCTAGTTTGGTGGGTAAAATGCTTTCTTGCATAGAGCTCTTAATCAGATTCAGACATGTAATTGCATAGAGGATGTTATGTTAAGTACTGTATCTGGTAACAACGTTGAGGCTCTATAATATGTGAATAATGTAATGTGTGCATCCTTTTACACACAGTTAGGCCTGGCTCGCAAGATGTCGTAGCTCCTGCTCCTCTGTGCTGCTGGCTGATTGGCTGATATCCTCAGACATCTCAGGGTTCTCCTTGTTGGGAGGCAACCTGCAGGAGACAAAACACAAAGTACACACTGAGCTGTTCACAGAGGTTGTGTCTTAAATTGGGAACAAGAAGGGCTTTGAGTTTTTATCCTGTTCAGGGTCACAGAGGCTAAGCAGCAAGGACACATTAACAGCACAGCGAAGTAAACCAGGAGTGAAATCTGGAAGCACATTGTAGTACCTCATATCCCAGTTTTCTGCCTCCTCCACTGTGTCAGGAAGAGGTCTGTCGGCGGTTTCGGGCAGTGCCAGGGCCAGGACAGCACCCACCAGCGGGCAGGTGCCGAAGATGACCAGAGGTGTAGTGGGGCTTTGGTTATCAAGCATGTTAATCGTGGGTGCTAACACACCGCCCATCCTCGCAAACATACAGGATACACCTATTCCGGTTTGCCTGTGAGTACACAAAGGGGAGGGAGCTATAGGTATTACCCACAGACATTTTTTATATTATGTGGGTATGAGAAAAGTAATTAAAACTGTAAAGACATGTCTTACCGAAGCACCGTGGGGAATATCTCAGCAGTGTACACATAGATTACAGCAAAGGAAGCTGTTATTCCGAACTTCCCTACCATGGCAAGACCCGTCAGGAAATTGGGATAATCTACAGACAAATGGAGGGAAATGATCACAGTAATGAAGTACATCCCATCATCAGTTATTAGTGGATGAGATGAAAAGCTGAGGTTTGTAAGGTTTGCAGACAGTTCACATTCCTGTAGGAACACAGCAAATGCAGTGTCTATCGTACCTGCAGGGACAGCAAGCATCAGCAGACAGGCGAGCCCTCCAACAGCCAGAAATCCACTTTGGGAGAGTCGGCGACTGCAGGGCAGGACAAGCAGGACGAGAGAACGAGCCGGGATCTCAACCAACCCAAACACAAACTGTGTCAAGTAGAGGTTTGTCCCCAACCTGGACACGCCCAGTGAGAGGCCGTAATACACCAGCACATTCACAAACCTGGGGTGCAAAAGAGGAACAGGGGATACAGACTGAAGAGAAAAGGCAGAGAAAGAACATGGTAAAAGGAATATAGATTTGATTTTTTACTTACGTCAAAAAACACCTAAAAAGCATGTATGGGCATGCACACACGCACACACACACACACACACAATTTACCAGATGTAGAACAAGATGATAGCCCTTTTCCTCATCTGAGGTGTTCGTACGAGATCCACTGCTGAATGACTTTGCTTCCCTCCAACTAAAATCTTCTCAACCTGGACACACATAACCCTTGAAAGGATTAGGCTGGTGGTATTCTAAATTATTCTTATTTTTAACAAATCCAAATAAAAAGACAAAAAAAGTATTCCACTAAAGTTTTACCTGTGTAGTCAAAGTTGTCATAACTATTATAACACATCAGTGAGCCACACTGGGTCACATGTTCTTTTATTACCATGAACATGAGCACTGTAGTTTGATTTGAGACAGTCTCATGTACACTGTTTGATGTAATAAATACTTACTTGCACATCAAATGTGTATTAATCCAACAATGCAGAATACTCCCCAACCAATTTACTCTGTTTGAATTTACTAAAACCTACAGTACCCACCTGTTTTATGAAATTTGTGATTTGTGTCAGGATAGTTGGAATTAGGAATAATTGGGAAGTATGTTTATTCGCTTTCTTGCCGAGAGTTTGATGTGAAGATACCACTCCCATATCTGTCCATTAAATTTGAAGCTGCTGCCAGCAGCCAGTTAGCTTAGCTTAGCATGGCCCTTTTCAATAAAACCACAAATTAAATAAATGAGATTGAATTAGTGAATTAGTGAATTTTAGAGGTGCAGGTAGGCAGATTTTGTTACCTTTGGCTCTTTTCCTATTTTCACACTTTGTGCTAAGCTAAGCTAACTGGCTGCTGGCTGTAGCCCATTTTTTTTTACAGGTTGATCTCCTCATCTCACTCTCTGCAAGATTTCCATCTGCAGTAAGTAAAAATGGAGCTGGGTCTGAGTGCCACAGACATAGCAGGGAAGTTGGAAGTATTGAAATATGGACTAACACAATTTTGATTTTGGTCTTTTTATGGGTTTGTTATAGAGTAACACCATCTTATCCTTTCACAAAAAGATTAGTCTTCAGCAAATCATATGCAGTGACAAAAAAATACATTTTACCGGCTTAGATAGTGTGCGAGTTTAAGGAGTAAAACCCAGAGACCTGTACAGTGGGAGGTAACACACGGCCGTTAACAAGTGCCGCCTTGCGGAGGAGTGCGATGGCTTCCTCCCTCCTGTCATTGGCCAGCAACCATCTGGCGGAGTGAGGCAGCACCCTGACAGGAGATACAAAGAGCGTACAGCAGACAGAAAGAGAAGAGAGGGGAGGAAGAGTGGATAGAGAGAAGTGCCAGAAATAAGGGCAGAGGAGAAAAAGAGGATCACAAAGAGGGAATTTGTGTACTCTTGTGCGGAAATGTATGAATACACAGTAGATCTAATGTTCAGATGCCCATTATATTCCCCACCATATATAGAAGATGAGCAGGAAGCCTGGGGCTGATATAGCCAGTTGCAACTTTCTCCAGTCTCGTATCAAGTATGCTACGCCTGCTAGCAGCATGTAGCCCAGACCAAATGCGTAGTCGGTGATGATACCAGCTAGCATGCGCCTCTTTGTGCATGTCCACTCAGTGCCTTTGAAAAAACAGTGCAGGGTTTGGAAGGAGAGGAGAGAAGATGGGTGGTGAGGAGAGGTGGAATAATGGGGATAGGGTTAAACTAAGGTGGTGGTTTGGAGCTTTAAGGTAGTGGAAAGAGTAGCAAGGGGTTGTGTTCTGGGATTGAGCAAAGATAGCACAAAAAGCATGAGACATTTTTACACTTAGTACACTTAGTAATACAATCTCTGTTGGTCTGACATGTAAGTGACAAATGAGATGACTACTTATTTTCTTGACTGATACTAAACAACTGTGCCTGCTAGTACTTCCTAGGATATTGCGTATCATGTGTTTTCATTGACACCAGCATTGCTGTCTGAGAACAAGATAATAATGCTAACATGTTAAAGTTAAGCTGATATTAGTTTACCATAATCACCATCTTAGTTACATGTTTTAGCATGCTAAAATGAGCTGATTAACAGGTTAGGCTGATGGAAATGTCATTAGTTTTGTAGGTATTTCGTCAAAATAAAACAAAATATTGGACAAACAGACAGATGCCCAGATGATAGCGCTAGATTTCAAGTGAAGGTATCACAAAAGTTGTTCTATATATATATATATTAGGGCTGACCCCAAATAGTCGAAGATTCGATGCTTCGATGGGCAGAGCCTGATTCGACTGTCAATCTCACCGTCGAAACTTCGAAGTCAAACAAGGATCTTGCCATTTTGGCGATATGGGGATGCTCAACGTCTAATTTTACATAGATCTACCAGTTTTCTCTCAGTAAGTTACTATACAGCCTATTACAATATAAATTTAAATGTTTAATGCTGTAAATAAACATGTAAAAAGAAAAAAAACTAACCCTAACCCAATAAATGTTTTTAAAAGTGCGTGAATAAATACAAAATTGTAACCCTAACCCTGGGTTGTCAGTGCACATGTGTAGGCGTATGGTATGTGTATATGTAATCGGTATGTGTGTAGTGGCAGGAGGAACACTTGCTGAAGAGACGGAGCCCCAGCTTCACCAGTGTTGTGCCGAGTTGTCCGCACCTCGCGGGACTTTCGGATAATTTATCACCGTTGATGAACCACACAAAGAATATTTTATCGTTTTTAAACAGCCAC